CACGCACAAGATTGGAACAACAACAATTTAGAGGCAGAATAACACCCAAAACTGACAGAGAATTTATCTGAATGGAAGTCGAACAGCCAAGAAGTTCAAATAGACCCATTCAGACTGGTAGGAGGGGCGGAGAGGAGCAGCTAGGTGGCGGGTCGCGGTGCAGGTTGCGGCGAGGAGAGCAGAGAGAGTTGGGTGCATAAGGCAACCGAGGGCGCGTAAGGCATCTGGGGCGCGCAAGATCGCAGCGGGTGGACCCTGAGTATGCAAGCGGCAGATGGCATACCCAGTGAGGTGGCGACTGTGGAGCAGGGCAGAGCTCGCAACCCAGGATCCCAGAAAAGGGACTGAGGTCCTACGGAGAATGGAGCAACCGCCATTTTTCCCTCCTGCCCCCGCCCCTGCATACAACCTCACAATCTAGTGACTGGGGTGCTCAGCCCTAGTGAACACCTAAGGCTCCGCCCCTCACCATAACTGGAGCGACCAGACCCCCCCCCCCCCCAAAAAAAAAAGAGAGAGAGAGAGAGAGACATGTCTCAAACAGAGGAACAAATCAATGCCCCAGGACTCATCCTTTTAAGCAACCGAGAGATAGCCAATCTATCAGATGCACAGTTCAAAACACTGGTGATCAGGAAGCTCACAGAATTGGTTGATTTTGGGCACAAATTAGATGAACAAATGCAGGTTACCATAAAAGAAATGAAGGAAAATGCACAAGGAACCAATAGTGATGGGAAGGAAACTGAGGCTCAAAACAATAGGGTGGACCAGAAGGAAGAAAGAAACAATCAAACAGGAAAGAATGGAGAAATAAGAATTCAAAAAAATGAAGAGAAGCTTAGGAACCTCCAGGACATCTTTAAATGTTCCAACATCCGAATTATAGGGGTACCAGAGGAGAAGAGGAAGAGCAACAGATTGAACATGTATTTGAACAAATAATAAAGGAGAACTTCCCCATTCTGGCAAAAGAAATAGTCTTCCAGGAAGTCCAGGAAGCTCAGAGAGTCCCAAAGAAGTTGGACCCAAGACGGAACACACCAAGGCACATCATAATTACATTAGCCAAGGTAAAAATGAAGGAGAGAATCCTAGAAGCAGCAAGAGATAAGGGGACAGTCACCTACAAAGGAGTTCCCATCAGACTGTCAGCAGATTTCTCAAAAGAGACCTTACAGGCAATAAGGGGCTGGAAAGAAGTATTCCAAGTCATGAAAGGTCCTATATCCCAGATTACTCTCTCCAGCAAAGCTTTCATTTAGAATGGAAGGGCAGATAAAGTGCTTCTCAGTTAAGGTCAAGTTAAAGGAATTCATCATTACCAAGTGCTTATTTTATGAAATGTTAAAGGGACTTATCTAAGAAAAGAAGATAAAAAAACATATGTATAGTAAAATGACAGCAAACTCACAATTATTAACAACCACACCTAAAGCAAAACCAAAAGAAACTAAGCAAACAAGTAGAACGGGAACAGAACCACAGAAATGGAGATCACATGGAGGGTTAGCAACAGGGGAGTGTGAGGAGGAGAGAGGGGGAAAAGGTAGAGAATAAGTAGCATAAATTGTAGGTTGAAAATAGATAGGGGGAGGGTAAGAATAGTATGAGAAATGTAGAAGCTAAAGAACTTATAAGTATGACACATGGACATGACTAAAGGGGGAGATGTGGGTGGAAGAGGGTGTACAGGGTGGTGGGGAGTGAAGGGGGGAAATGGGACAACTGTAACAGCATAATCAATAAAATGTAATTAAAAAAAGAAAGCACAGTGGCTAATTTTTATTGTGAGGAAGAAATGGTTCACAAACTAGCAAATGTAAAAATAAAAATGCTATTTTTCAATGGATAGAATGAAAGATGGGTTTCCTAAATTACTTTCAATGTTTGCATTGTCACAGTTCACCTATTGTCTGTTAAGTATTACTGAAATAAGTCACGTAAATTCTCATACTTTTTCTCTGCAAACTTCTTCTGGAGAAGGTGATTTCAAACATATTCCGTTCCAATTCCCCTCCATTTGCTTTAATGTGTTTACCTTCATTGCACAGGCACGGCTCCATAGAAAACTGTCTTTGAACTGCCCAGATCACCTCCAGTACTGCATCAAGTAGCCATATAGAAAACAGACCACTATTTTATCCTCTTATCCCTACACAGATGAAATGGTTTGCTGCTTATTTAAATCACAAAGCAATTCTTTTGTGTGCTGAATTGGCCCAAGGCTAGGGAGGCTGGGCAAACTCCCTTCTCAGAGGATCTCCACTTGTGGTGGCTTCCAGTCCAGTCAGAACTGGAAAACCTCCAAGGCCCTCCATGTGGGGCAGTGTTCTCTGCCTCTGAACTGATTACTGGGCCAAGTGAGAAAAACCAAATTGTGAAGAGCCATTCCAATGGCAAGCACATTCGAAGTGTGTAAGTGTGTGTGTGTGTGTGTGTGTGTAGTCAGAATTTCTTGGTTGGGAAGGGAAATGTGGTTAACCTAAATTGAACATGGGGTACAAACAGAGGCATCAAAAAGTATGCTCACTGACTCAGTTCAACTATGCATTTTTGCTTCCATTATTTAAAAAAAATAGCACTTTAAATAGTTTGGCTATATTCAGAAATGTAACTGCTTAAAAAAAGTCTTGAATGCATTAAAGGACCGTGTTTGGGGAGGTGGTGGGGAAAGAGGGCAGATGAGCAAAGCATAGCTAATTCTATTCTATCCTATCCTATCCTATCCTACCCTACCCCTACCCTATCCTATTTTAGAAGGGAAGGAGAAAGAGAGGGAGAGAAACATCAATGTGACAGAGAAACATCAAGCAGGTTGCCCTCCAGACATGCCCTGACCGGGGACCAGGGACCACATATGTGCCCTGGCTGGGAACCAAACCCACGACCTCTTGGTTTGCAGGATGATGCCCAACCAAATGAGTCACACTGGCCAGGGCAGCTACAGATTCTTTCGAGTATAACTTACTTGTTAATCAAAGTCAGTAACTGCTGCTTGCTATGTGGTGGCTCATGTATTACTGCTTCATTTTTTCTTACCCCAGGAAGAAACAGAGAATACGAAATGTGGAGTGAAAAAACCTGGGTTCAGATCATGTTGCTGTCAAACATGCGTTAACAATTTCTGGCACTAAGCTTTCCTGCTATTTGTTATTTATGAATTTCGGGCTTTAACTCAATAAAATGGGTTTACCAACAAATGTCACCCTTTCCATCAATGATTGTGCAGAAAGAAAATATAAGCAAACTGTAAAGTGCTCTTCAAGCATTTATTATTGTTGTTGCCATTAGGTCTTCCTGACATACAGCAAAGTACGTAACAAATGTTCACTAAATTATTAATGAACTGAACTAATTATAGTGAACAAATGGTGAGAATGAATAAATCATGAATCTTTAAACCAATAACACTTTCACTTAAAAATTGATATATATTTAACTGTAAAATATTAATATTTTATATAAAACTAAGTTGAACACCTTGAAAATATCCAAAGGGAAAACAATGTCTCAGCTGCCAGAAGAGCCACTGTAATCGCCGCATATCGTGGGATCCCAGGTATGGCAGGTGGGTAGTAGCAAGTCAATTTTTATTAAGGTATAGAGGCACAGGATGAGAGGTTAAGAGCCTGAGCCTGGAGTTTAAATCTCAACTAACAAGTTGTATGACCGTAGACAAATTACTCAATCTGCTCTAAACCTCAATTTTCACATGTAAAATGGGGATAGCAGTAGTACCTGCTATTAAGTGTAAAGACACAGGTGATTACTTACCACAGCGTTACACAGCGCTGTCTGGCTAGCTATCCATCATCATCATGCCACATGCAGGATGACTTTCTACGAGTGGAATCAGACCAGGAGTCCTCCATGTTATAATCTGCTATTATAACCTTTAGCCACAGTGAATGATGGTATGTTTTTGAAAAACACCGCAAAGGGGAAACACGGTGGTCATACATCCTGCCAGGTCTCCACAATACTATGCTGCTTGGATGAAGTTAGATATGCTTACCGGGAACAGTAGTTCTCTGAACCAAATACATATAAGCAGACATCCAAGGTACAATTCTTCACATTTCACTAACCACTCTCTGAACCGTCCAGAACCCCTGGGTTATACTTTTAAATTTCTTACCCAAGTTGCTCATGCTCTATGTTTCATTTCCAGTAAAATTTGTCTTTCTTTTTTCAAATGGAAATGTCAAAAAGCTTAAGATGTGCATATATGCATATATTTTCTCATTTGCAGTGAGTGAAATCTTGCTAACACAGAAGTGAAAGAAGTTAGAATAATGAAACACTATAATGGGAACCCCTTGTAACAGCACATACCATGTTAAATGATGATGGTGGTCAATGAAGCAATTGCTTCACATTCGATATCCTACTGAAATGTATTAACGGCACTTTAAGGAAATAAAACCTAACCCTTCTTGAGATGTCCTGCCAAATGAGTCAAAAAGCCTTAATTCTAGATCTATAAAATTTATCAGAATAATCCAACTGTGTAACCATTGACATTCTTATCATGGAGAATTTAATAATGCAATAAATTCTGGATCTTAGATATAAAAGACACCGCTCCGGCATGCCCCCAGTAGTCACCTTCTTGAAATCACGTCCACTCCTTTGGGACATGGTAGGCCCCTTCCTCTGGGAAAAGGCCAGGCCCAGTCACCTCAGCATGAGCTGTTCCTCCAGTCTGCTTGTCTTTTGACAGCAGCTACCTGCCAGCCAGCAAAATCCTGGTATCTACTGGGCTGCTGCAGATGGAACAGACTGTGAATCCAGCTAGAGGATAAGAGGTTGTTTTAATTGGCTAAATCTGCTATGTAGTAAGCGTATGGCCATGAATTTGTAGCCAAAACACTAATCTAAAAAAAATGCCATGTGCAATTTAAACAGAAAACAAAAATGACATTTTTACTCGTCAATTCTAGTTTTGCCATGAGGGTTTTTAACCTAACATTTTATAATGACTACCAAATCCTTACCTTTGCTGAAGTAAAATTTTCATGGTATACTCCTCGTACCAAGTCCCTAAGGGCGCTTGCTAAAAGTTCTACAACCTAAAAAAACAAGATCAAAGATTAAAGGAAACAATTAAAAAAACATTTGTTTTTTACCTCAGAATGCCTCAGAAGACTTAGGAGCAAGGCAGTACTTATGTTTGATAGAAACAAAACAAAACAAAAACAGGGTTATGTGCAAAGATTCTGGCAATGACATTGCCCACCTGGATATTAAGAGCTGTGATCCAATTTTTTTCAGTCATAATTTTTTTTAAAGATTTTTATTTATTTGTTTTTAGAGAGGGAAGGGAGGGAGAAAGAGAGAGAGGGAGAGAAACACCAATGTGCGGTTGCTGGGGGGCCATGGCCTGCAACCCAGGCATGTACCCTGGCTGGGAATCGAACCTGGGACACTTTGGTTCCCAGCTTGCACTCAATCCACTGAGCTATGCCAGCCAGGAGTCATAATTTAAGCAAAAAAAAACAAAAACAAAACAAAACCCCAAAACCCCACAAAACCCCCAAAATCAAAAAACCTTATAGTCACAGTATTTATGTACTATACATGAAAGTCCAGTAATAGCCACTTTGAACATAAGCTTAAATTTCAGGTAACTACTGAAATCTTAATCCAATTTATTTTCTGTATGTTTATTTCTGTCAGGTGGATACTTTTCAATATCCCCATTCTGGCAGTGATTACAATGCTAATTTTCATACTTAATACAGAATGAAAAGCAAATGCAAAAGAATGACTAACCTTTCAAATGTGTTCATTCTGTTGCATGTAAAATGCACTGTGGATTTGTTTGGTGTAGGAAACCTGGGTCAAACATACCTTATTTTCAAACTTGTAATTTTTTTTACAGAAACACAGTACTTAAATCGTATTCATCAAACCTGTATTACTTTCAAGGCTCAGGCTATTTAAAAAAAAAAAATCAAGCAAAATCAAAAGCTTTGAACTTGTTCCAGAATGTAAAACAAGCAGAAAACAGTAAATGGTCTCTTTGGAACTACTGTACAATGTAGAGTTGTTTGCATAAATCATCTTAATTCAAAAAGATAAAATAGTGCTATTTATTATAACGTTCATTGCAGCCTCTTCAAATAAGAATTTCTCAAGGCAACCCTATCTGCTTCGTATGAAGGAAGACTTAGTATCTTGTATATTTAGCTTCCAATATTATGCAGTTGTGTATCTGATTCCCACTCTTTGCTTCCTAAAATTTAGCTCAGTTCTGATTGAATTAAAGGATTTTGTTTCAGCTTTTATCATTCTTGTAATTGAAGACATTATTAAGCCAAAGGATACAGAACCAAACAACAAGATACTTCAATTTCAGGTACCCCAGATTTAATAAACATTTTCTTAGAAGCAAATTACATTAATTTATAGAAAGACTTGCTTTAAAATTTTAACGCATGAGTATTTATAACCAGACTTATATTTACATACTTACTGCATAACTTATACAAGGTTGCTGATATGGAAATTTTGCTGATTAAAGGAGTATTTTTTTTCTAGCTCTGCAAATGGGTTAATTTGTAAGAACCATACAAAATCTTTTTCTTTTTTTTAAATCACATTGCCCTTTAGGTAACTAAATACTTAAGAAATATTGTAGCAATATGAGCTGCAGAGGAACTGGAAGGACAATGATCCTACAGTGTTACCAGATGTGTTGAGTTATTTAAGTGGGGAAGAGAGAAAAATGAATGGATTTTTTTCCCCCTGAAGGTATCAGATAAGCCCTATTCCCAAATCCAGGAGGATTGAGTATCGCCAATAGGTCTATGAAAGACTGTAACTAAATGCACAGCATCAGATTGGATTACAGTTTATACAAGCAACATCCCAAGATCCTCCTGATGGCTGGACACATAATACAGATCAACCACTCACTAAGAAATGTTATGGGTTTGAAATAGTTTGAGCTCTGAGACCAGCACTGGTAAAGTGAAGAGGGATTTACAAAGAGAAAGTTTGACGCTAAATGTCAGAATGATGGTATGAACTTTTAACAATGGATCTGGCTCTGGATAACCACAGTATTCCTTTACTTCCCTGAAATTCCAGATGAGGCAGAAGCAACAACAACATTTTACTCTCTGACTATTCTTCTCTTAATTCAATCAGCATATACAGGCAGACTGTACTTACAAGTTCATAATTTGTGAATGACATATACTTCCAAACTGAGCAGAATACACCCTCATAGCCGATGACAACCATTAAGGACAACGCTTTGGACTACAGTGGGTTAACAAGTCCAGGAAGATAAGAGACCTTGAAAAACAGGAATAGCCCAGGGGAACTGCATGTATCCCAGGCAAGGGTGACTTTGAACACATGTAAATCTCTTTCCATTGCCTGAAATGTTTACTTTAAAAATTATACCGAAGAGAGATGTGTTTAAGCATCCTCCTCCTTTAAAATTGCAAATATTTATAGAAACACCACAAGGCAACCAGCCACACATACTTTAACAAAACTACTATTTTTTTTCATTTTATGGCTTACTACCACAGGCATTCACCTGTTTAGATAACTTGTACTAAAATACAAGAAAGAAATTGCTTAATGACATTTTTTTCTTCAGATTCTTGAGGACTAATTTGTTTGAGCAACCCCAGAAGCTAGCAAGGATAATGGCAGCCAGAGGAGAATCCAGAAGCCTAATGCTAGACATCCCGAGGCCAAGCGCCCAAGGCCCAGACTTCTTGGTGCTTTGGACAAGAGCAACCGTGAGGAACATTCAAGGACTTCTGTTTCTCCAGCCCAGCAGGGCAAGCGAAAATGCTCTAAAGGAAGAGAGGCTCAGAGAACCTCAGTTTTGGCCAGCATAAGAAGCTCAACAGATCAGAAGGTAACGACAGAGCAGGGGACGGGGAGCCAGAGGATCCAGATTCTACTTTTGAGGCCTACTACTTAGATCTCATTGTGAGATTTCAGGCAAATCAATTAATTTCTCTAAGCTTTGGTTTTCCTTAATGATAAAATGAGAAAAGATGCAAAACAATTCCTTAAGATCCCTTCCAGTTCTAAGATTCTAAGCTTCTAGAAATGCAAGTCTTAGTATTTATAATTAAGCATGTAAACTTAAAAACTTTTTTGGTAATCTCTTCTTTTTACATGAACCTTTTCTTCTGTCTGATACTGATTACTTTATTTGAGGAACTTTTTGTACCCAATCCCCCTTAGTTCCAATATCTAGAATCAGAAGGAAACAATTCCCATTTTTTTTTTTTAAACCATTATGACTGGTAGCCTAGCCCAACAAGCTGGCAAAGAAGTCCTACTTGGGTTAGTTAAAGGTCACATTGCTGAGTGCTGGGTCTTGAAGGGCTCTAAGGCTTGAGAGTGATTCATACATATTGGATTCAGAATGACATCAGGTTTAAGTGCAAAGTTACATCAAACAAATAATGGCTCCAGTTGCCCACATCACTTCCTTCTCTAATGAGTAAGTATGTAGAGCACTTAGAGAAGCATTTGGGACTTAAGTCTCAGTGAGTGCTAACTTGCTAGTCTTCTATATTTCTAAGTTATTACTCTATATTTTCAATATAAGTCTTGGGTAGGTGAAAGTCATAGTGTGGAAACAAAGATCACAGTGGCTTTTACATTGGGTGCCCAAACATTGCAGAAGAAAGTGAATTTTAATTCAAGAACAAAATACACAGAAAGACTGTTTCAACCCAAATCAGAGATCTTTGCAATGATGACTTGTTACACCCTGAAATAATTTCAGATTATGTTACTGTCACCATTGGTGTTTTAAAATATACTTTAGCAGTCTAGAGAATAAAAGGGAAATAGTTTTTTCATTTCTGCATTTTGGAGGTTGTGGGAATAGCAGAATTGCTCACCTGTACATTCAAATGCAAAAATGCTTTTCTCTTCACTTTGTGCCACATGTGTAAATCTTACTACAGCAACGCCATACACTATCCACCAATTTTCTAATGACTAGGCTTTCCATGAGCCAGAGTGGTGACCATTCACAATGTCAGGGTTATGAGCTGGCTTCTCCTGCCACCTCATTTTTTGACTACCAAGGAGGTCACATGGAAAAGTAAATGAACAGTGTACTTCTGGCTGGCATTTTTAAGCAACTGTTGATCTTTCCCACTTTAAACACTGCTCCCTCACCAAAGATAAGGAATAGGTAGTGTCCACATGCACCTAAACCTTAGTACACAGATCTGATATAACTGACCTTTGGAATGAATTTCTTTCTTTTTAAAAAAATTTTATTTATTTTTTAGAGACATGGGAAGGGAGGAAGAAAGAAAGGGAGAGAAACATCGATGTGAGAGACAAACATTGATCAGTTGCATGCCCCAACTGGGAACCAAACCCCCAACCCAGGCATGTGCCCAGACCCAGAATGAACCGGCGACCTTTTGCTTTCTGGATGATGCCCAACCAACTGAGCCACACTAGTCAGGGCTGAATAAATTTCTTAAATATTGATTTTACAGAACAGATTTCATGAGAACATGTAATTGTCTCATTCTTTATTTTTTGGCAAGGGTTAACTACAATTCAATTATTTTTTTTTAAACTAAAAAACTGAAGTGATGCCTATAATAATAAGGTGTTGTGATGATTATGTCCTGGGCTTTAGTTACATTCTCATTATAAAAAATAGAAATTGAGAGAAGTAGGAGGTGGTAAAAAAAATGACAAAAAGTATATCCTCACTTACTATACACAAAGATGTCTGTAAAATATTCTTAAGGATAAAAAAAGCTTGTTTCAAAACAGAATAGCATATAGGTATTTTTAAGACAAAAATGAGGTCAATTTATGTGCTTATATATGCAGAGATAAAAGTATAAAAGACAAAAGGCCCTGACTGGGTAGCTCAGTTGGTTAGAGTATCACCCCAATACACCAAGGTTGCAAGTTCAATCTCCAGTCAGGGCACACACAAGAAGCAACCAATGAATGTATAAATAAGTGGAATAACATATCATTGTTTCTCTCTCTCTCAAATCAATAATAAAGGACAAAAGAATATTAATAATGATAACGTGTAAGTGGTAAG